TTTTTCATTCTTATGAGCAGAGTTTTTTTCAAACTTGGCATGAAAAGAACAATATCAGAATACTTTTTTTTTTCAAAATATGTAATAAGAATATTAGAACATCTAAAACACATTTCAATTAGAATAATTTTTTCCGTACTTGTAACGCATTTTCTTTGCAATTAGAATGCAACTGAAGGGTTTAGAAAATAAATGCGAAAAAGAGCATGAATATTTCACTAAGTTAGCATCTAATATGTAAACTGAGGACAAAAATCTTGAGTTTAGAACATTTATATAATTGGAAAGAAAAATTGCTAAACGGCATTTTTGTCCAATTTGGCGCCTCATAAGGGGCGGTTAGCTCAATTGGTAGTTTAACTGTGAATTCTCGAGAAAATTTCTAATATTTTCATTGTTGCAGGGTGAATCGCTTGTAGAAAATACGTGGTTGTGGGTTAGAAAATTGAAAGTCGACGTGAATTTGAGGTTGGGAATCGTTTTAAAGATTGCTGTTAAATAGGATGTATAGTAGGAAAAACTGAAATTTTATGAATTTTCGGACATTTGTTCATCGCATAGGGGAAAGGTAATTTTCAATGTTTAGGAAAGGGGTTCTAAATGTTTTTGTCAGTAGTCATCTTGTTTTGGCCACAACGGGATGCATGTACTAATTAAAGGTGTACGGAGGGCTGAACAGTTATTATTACTGTTAGGTTAGAAACATCTCATACAAAAGAGGACATGGTTCCCAAAATGAACCTTCTATTTATTATTATTTTAAAATAATTTGTAACACTTCGGTTTCTATGAAAGCGTACAATATAGATGTAACATACCCTTTTACATATTATTAACGCTGATTAGAAACGAAACGAACTTTAGTTCATTACAAGTAACTTACAACTTTTTAATCTAGGATGATAGCACGATTTGGAAAATGTTGTCTCCAGGCATATGCTGCTGAAAGAGAAAATAAATAGGTTTTAGAAATATACGAAAATGCTGATATGGTGTTAAATGATGTGCAGTGTGTTTTGTCAACTCTGGGGGATGGAGAAAAATTTACCAAGCTTGACATGTATCAGGCATATTAACCGATGACAATGGATGAGGAGTTCCAGAAATTCACGACAATTATTGCGAACAAAAGTGTATTCCAGTGCATTATACAGTACTCCTTGGAATCTCGTCCTCACCGGGATTTTTTTCAAGAAAATAATGAAAAACTTCCTACAGGATATTCTACTTGTCATTGTATGCATAGTTGACATTGTCATTGTCTTTTCCACTGATTACAATCTCATGCAGAATTTAGAAGCAGAAGTAAAGAAACTGTTGGAAACAGCTGGAGTGAGGTTAAGAGAAGAGAAATCCTTGGTCATGGTGTTGCAGGTTATCTAGTATGGCAGTGGTATCAAGCCTGTAGCAGGGGTGGATTAGTCGTACAAAATTTTCCTACACCTGAAAATGTTACTAAAATGCACGCATTCCTGGGAATGGTGAATCATTATTATTGTTTCATACCAAATCCAAATACCAGTCGAACCCTAGAACCACTATACAAATTGCTAAGATAATGTCAATGACATAATGGTATCTGTTATGTGGATTATGAAACTGTACATGATGGTATAGAGTAGAACAATAGGAACATAAGCAGAATGTTACCTGTTTAAGGTTAATGTGCTTCACTGTTGGTGGAAGCTGATGCTTGGTTGATTTTTCCAAGATTTGATGTGGCAAACTAAGAGAAAAGAAATCATTGAGTAAAAAGAGTATATCAGAAGAAAAAATTATATTTAAGGTGGGCATAAGAATTTCACAATTTTGTGTATGATTATTGTTTGGTCTAGTGTGAGAAATGTGGAATTTTGTTTGTATGTTAACTATCAATGAGGAGTACTTTTTAATTTTGTTGTAATTGTGGTTGAATTTCATTGTTTACTACATAAGTAGACACTTACTCCATTGCAAACCTCCAACATTTGTTGCAAAAATAATCAGTCGTCTTGAGGTCTGTGAAATATAAAAGATAGCGTGCAAGTGAATTCATGATTCATACTTGTGGTTGACAAATGTGTGTCATGTTTAATCTTGCTTTTCAATGAAGTAGTGTATGAATTGGATAATAGTGGCACAATTCAATTTTCAAATTTTGTTCCAAATGTAAGTTTCCCTGATATGTCAGCTTGATTGGTAATTTTCAATTATAGGAATAACAGAATTTTAGTTACCATGGCTGATGGTTCAGTGTAATAATTATTTATCCACTCCAGCTGCACATTAACTTTCGAAAGGCTCTGTGATATTTGGATATACGGCGATAAAAACCTTCGATGTTCTTTGATTTCAATACTTTCATCTACACACTATCCACATGGCAGCCAACGAGTACCACAACAACAACTTTCGCTAGGCATCAGGGGATGCTTACAAACACAACTTTTTCACACTTCTGGTACAATACACTACAGGCTCTGTATCATTGTTACCATCATATGTTTTATCTTTTGGAACTGATGAGCCATGATGTAAATGAAAGAATATCATCAATTAAATGTTCAAGATATGTGGTTATTAAGAAACAAGTATAACATAGTTGTGGTAAAAGTTAAAGGAATGATTAAGAATTACAGGGTAATCAATGAACAAAGTATATTAACTTTTGACTTACTAAGTGGGGAGGAGGGGGGAGGTGGGGAGGAGGAGGTGGGGAGGAGGGGGAGAGGGGAATGTTATTTAAGTCTTGTATTAATGGGCACATTAACCTGTTTTGCTTGCTGGCGTTACATATGTTGGGATGATGTTCTGTACAAAAATTAAAGAAGTATGTAATAATGGGCACATTAACCTGTTTTGCTTGCTGGTGTTACATATGCTGGGATGATTTTCTGTACAAAAATTAAAGAAGTATGTAGTCAGTAAGGATCTAATTGATAACTATAATTGTAGCATATTACATAATGCATCTGATTATTAAATAATTTGCAGCATATTTTGAGAATTTATGTTTTTCTTTTGAGGAGTTGCATTGTTACTCATGTTGTTGTTGTTTTGAATTTGTTGGTGCATGAGCATGCACAATCAGCATTTGGAAGAACCTCAAGAAAGTATTAAAAATATTTGATCAGTGACAATGTAATTGATATGAATTCATTATAAAGGAGATGATTGAAGCATTGAAAGAAGGGTAATTGGTTGATTAAATACAAAGTTCTCTAAATTAGCATTGAAAATTACTAGCCCTACAGTATGTTAGTAGAGGGGGGAAGAGGGGGGTGGGTGGGAATGATTAAGTCCTTAATGATGAGTTATTAGATGTGTTGTTTGTTTCATTGTGACTGATTGGTTGATTGAATACAAAATTCTCTAAAGTAACACTGTAAGTTACCATCCCCAACGTGCTGGAGATAGGAGAGGGGTGGAAGTGCTTAAGTCTTGAAATGATGAGCACATTACCTCTATTGTTTGCTCTTTGCTCGAAAGATGCAACATATTCTGTAAGAAATAGTAGGAATATGTTGTCAGTGATGATTTATTATCAAACATAATTATGGCTTACTACACCGTGCATTTAATTATATGATAATTCACAACATATTTTAAGAATTTGTGCTTTAATTCTTGTGATTTGTGCAAGGATGGAAGAGGTTTTCAAAGTGTTGAATATATTTCCACATTACCTCTGGTGGTTGTTGAATTGTTCAAAATTCAACAGGGATGTTGTGTTAACAAGATATTCTATAATAAGATATTAGAAGTATTTAATCAATGATAATGTAATTGATATTGATTCAGTGTCAAGGAAATGATTGAAAAGATTTCAGAACAACAAGTATTACAGGTTAATTAGTTGATTGAAAACAAAATTCTTTAAACTTGTGTTGTAAATTATTACCTTAAATTGTGCAGGGAAGGGGGGAATGTTGAAGTGTTAAATTGAGCAGCATATTACTTGTGTCATCTCTTTTGTTTATGTCACATTGATAAGTTGTTGGATACTCTGTAAGAAATTAAGAATTAATTAAAAAATAATACTTAAGAAAGAAAATAAAGGGTTTTTGTTTTCAAGGTCTTAAGTTTTGGAGGTCTTTGTTTTTGGTAGAACCTATATGGTGCTTCAGTTTGCAGCTAGTTTTTCACTTAAAGTTGAAGTTGTTGTTACAGTTTTGTTTTAAGTTTAAAGTGAGCTGTCCATTCCTGAAATATACCTTTCTGTTTCAATGCTGAAAGGAAACCATCTGTCAAACAAACAACAATGGTTGGAAGTTGGGTGATATATGTTCTTAATTCGTGGCTCAACATATTGTGTATGTACTGATTCCTGTGCCTTGTCTCCATATAGTTCCTCTTGGATGTAGTGCCATGTTTGTTTGCTCTATTTTCAATTGATTTTTTCTTCAGTTGTTGTCAGTCTCAGTATTCCTATGTTTTTAACCGAATGGCAGGCAGATTTTGTGCGTTTAACGCGTGATTCAGGTTTCC